GTTTCGCTTCAGCAGGTTCTTAGTTACCTTTTGGATCTTACTTTGTTTGCCCGGCTGGCGCATCCCTAAATTCCTTTCTTGGGGCCCATTCCTCTTACCACTTTCTTCTTGGCCCTGGTTAGTATCTCCTCTCTTTGAAGTGTGCATGTCAGTGTAGAGCAAGGACAAACAAACAGGCGATGCCAGCTGCGCCAGCTGCTTAGTAAGAAACTCCCAGTCTATCACTGATTAGTCTTTTTTTTAGCTTCTTTGTTTCATCCCCCCCTTTCTAAGTACTAAGTAAATTCTTTTACTTAGAATATTTCTCTAAAGTTTTCTGAATATATTTGCCCTATACCTTTTACGTATAGTTTTATTCAGGGTTTAATGAACAAACTCATATGCAACCTTTTACAGCTGCATTCGGAGTATTTGTTGGCCGTTGTGTCGCCACCTCTCCTTAGTGTCCTGGTCCCACATCCTGCCCAGAGCACGTGCCGTTCTCTCGGCACTTGGAGGATGCTGCCTCGGCTGGTTCTGTTCAGTTTCAGACCTGTTTTGACACAGGTGGTGGTGTGGCAGGCTTCCACACAGACGTCTCACCTCTACATACATCTTTTCACTCTTTGTGTCACTTTATTAGATCTTTTGGGCGTTATGTCAAAAGTGATGAACACGGTCCTGCTGTTCAGAGTCTCTTCTGCATGTCGGAGAAGCTGTGGATGCCTCATCCCTGGCAGTGTTCCAGGCCAGCTTGGATGGGGCTCTGAGTCACCTGGGCTACTGGAAGCTGTGCCTGCCCAGCGCAGGGGCTTGGGACTAGATAATCTCTAAGATCTCTTCCAACCCAAACAATTCTGTGATTTTGTGATTCTATGCTCCATTGATTTGCACACTGAAATTATGACATAGCCACTACTCTTGAGATTCAGGTTCTCCCTGGCGCCTTGTTCAGAGCAGCTAACAGAGACCTTATTTGCAAGTGCTGCCAGTCCTGTGGCAGCAATGAAGGCTTCCCTGTGGCAGCAATGGAGGCTTCCCTTTTCTGTGACCGTGACAGTGCCCTCCCAGGGTGCATTTGCCTGTCCTTGTTCTTGCTTTTGACAGATAGCCAGACATTTCTGTACTTGTCATGGAGCCCGGCATACATTTGTGTGGTTTGTTGCATGAGTGGGTGGTAATGCCTTTCATATGACCAACATGAAGGTATCCTCCATCCATTTAATGTGCATTTGCTTCAGTCTTGTGATGAGGTGCACGTGCAGGTTTGAAGTATTCTCGGGAAAGAATAAGTGTGTGTCACCAGTGTGCCCTGGCAGGCAAAAAGGCCAGCTGTGTCCTGGGGTACATCAGGCACAGCATTGCCAGTCAGTTGAGGGAGGTGATTGTCCTGCTCCACTCTGCACTGGTGCAGCCTCAGCTCAAGTCCTGTGTGAAGTTCTGAGAGCTACAATATAAGAAAGATATAAAGCTGTCAGAGAGTGTCCAAAGGAGGCTATGAAGATGGTCAAGGGTCTAGAGGGGAAGCCATATGTGTAGCAGCTGAGGTCACTTGACTTGTTCAGCCTTGAGGACTGGAGACCGAGGGCAGACCATTGTGGTCCTCAGCTTCCTCATGAGGGGAAGTGGAGGGGCAGGCACTGATCTCCTGCCTTTCTGAAAATATATAATCCCCAGTTTTGAACATTGGGAGGGTAAATGTTACACATCAAGGATGATTAACTTTGAATACTTCCCCCTTCTCTTCCTTTCTTTAAAGGTTGATTTGTTTATGAGACTAATACCATATTTCCAATCAATTGCCTGTAAAGCATCCTGAAGCATGGAGGAGGGGCAGGCACTGATCTCCTGCCTTTCTGAAAATATATAATCCCCAGTTTTGAACATTGGGAGGGTAAATGTTACACATCAAGGATGATTAACTTTGAATACTTCCCCCTTCTCTTCCTTTCTTTAAAGGTTGATTTGTTTATGAGACTAATACCATATTTCCAATCAATTGCCTGTAAAGCATCCTGAAGCATGGATCGGT